ACGCGGAACATCGCCGAAAGGCGGCGGGAGGGGCGTCTAATTTCGTGCAGCTAAGCTCCGAGCACTCCGCTCGACGTCATCGAAATTATCCCGTCGCTAAGGCGACCTGCTGGCGGACGACGCGTAACCAGCTCAGCTCATCTCCATTGTGCTCCCGAATAGGCCCCTCCACAACGCGTGCTGACGAAGGAAGTGCGGCACCTCCATTGTGCGCTATAGTGAAATATAAAACGCCAATATTACTGTTACACAAGCGCATTTTCGTCCTCATTATTCTCGTTGATTACAGAAATGTTGCAAACATTGTGCATCCCCTCTGCTATTATTTTTTAATAGCATCGCTGGAATTCCTTTTTAATCCTCACTATTTTCTATAATTTCTAAAACTATCGGCGATTTACAGCGCGTGATTTAGACCGTACTTTGAGGGCTTAGTCATCTGACCGCCAGGAGCTGCGAATATTTGATTCACTCGAGGAGGCTGGAGAGCGAAACTAGCGCCTCAGCTTTCTCTTCTAGCCACTCACTGCCAGCGCGACAGGCGTAAGTGTTTCCTTGGTAACGAAGTTACCAAAACACCACCGAAGAAGCGCCCTAACGGTTGTGGTAAACGAAGGAGGGTGGTTAATTACGACGCGTTCACGCTGACGGCAGTGAGAACGTGCAGGCACAACTTCTTCCGTCGAGATGCCAACGCTTATGGGGATAGCCGCTGCCCTCGGAGAAGAGGATATGCAGGCGCAGTGCTCCGAGTCTACTCTCTATCGTCTGCCGCCGAGGTATTTGGGCTTGAAGAGATTGCCGAGGAACCGCCACTCTTTCTAATCGAGAAGGGACATTCTCGAGTCGAGACAACAATGCGGAGACCACGGAACCAGAGAGCGATCTCGAAGCAGAGATCCAAGAACCGGAAAATCGATGACCATGGATGAGACTCGGGTAATTTACGGCCGTGCAACTGACAAGGCATGGACCGACAGCCCCGCAAATTCGGCTACATATTTTCGGCACCAATTTGAAGTCCAGGTTGCGTGGCCAATGCAGAGGTCGGCATTTTAGGTCGCCCTCACTCACCCTCACCCTCACAGCCACACTCACCTAAGCCCCTCACTCACCCTCACCCTCACAGCTACACTCACCTTCAGCCCCTCACTCACCCTCACCCTCACACTCACATTCAGCCCTTCACTCACCCTCACTGAACCTCACGGCCCTCACGCACTCACCGCCCTCACGGCCCTCACGCCCCTCACCGCCCTCACGGCCCTCACGCCACTCACCACCCTCACGCCACTCACCGCCCTCACGCCACTCACGGCCCTCACAGCCCTCACGGCGCTCACGGCCCTCACGCACTCATAGCCCTCACGCCACTCACCGCCCTCACGGCCCTCACGCCACTCACCTCCCTCATGCCACTCACCGCCCTCACGCCACCATAGGTCGGCATTTTAAGCTGTCCTCACTCAAACTCACGATCACTATTTTTTCCTCAATCAGAACTCACGCCCACTCACGATCACGATTTATTCAAAATAGGATCATCACCCGGACTCACCCTCACGGCTCAACGCAAAACCAAAACTCACTCGCCGTCATCATCACGGTCGTCACGCTCACAGATCATCACGGTCATCACGCTCACAGGTCATCAGGAATCATCAGACTCACAGGTCATCACACTCACAGTTCCTCACGGTCCTCACACTCACAGGTCATCACACTCACAGATCCTCACAGTCCTCATACTCACAGGTCATCACGGTCCTCACGGCACTCACACTCTCAGCTCCTCGCGGTCCTCACTGTTACAGGTCATCATGCTCATCACACTCACAGGTCCTCACACTCACAGCTCCTCACGGTCCTCACACTCGCAGGTCCTCGCGGTCCTCACACTCACACAGGTCCTCACGGTCCTCACACAGGTCTTCAAGCTCATCACACTCACACGTCCTCACACTCACAGGTCATCACGCTTGCCGGTTGCTTTCTTTGTGCTTTTCTTTTGTTTCTCTCAAGCCTTTGGTTTGTCTTCGCGTGAGTCGTGTGGCGGGGAAACTTCTGAGCCACTAATCCAATTTGAAAGAAATGTACTATGTTAATGTTTATGCTTCGCACATTTCTACCAAATTTCGCAAACCTGGATGAATTACGAAAGAAACTAAATGCAAGCTGACTAAAGTGGGTGCGTTTAACTTTCGCCTGCTGACAGGGGCGGCGGGAAAACAGAAACGCGCCTTCCGACAGGTTACACAGACAATGTCGCAGTGATTAGAACATCGCCTCGCTGTGCATACCTCGCTCATTTGTACACAGATAAACAATTACTACATATATCACCTCCGTTTCTTTTTTTGTGTCACCCCCAGGTACTTCTACGGAAGTTTATGCAGAATGTATATATATAGTAAACATATGGGCATCGACCCAGTTTTTTTTTTGTGTGTGTGTGTGGGGGGGGGGGGGTGGAGAACGGTTATATTAGGTAGTGAAAAAATTGTAAGGGTGCAGGCGAGCTGGTGGAAGTTAACCATAGTTTTGTTTAACCCGAGACTGGGGTATTTCGGAAAAGGGACGAGAAGAAAAGAGGCCACAAGGAGGCGACGTCTCAAAATTGAGACGTCGCCTCCCTGTGGCCTCTTTTCTTCTCGTCCCTTTTCCGAAATACCCCAGTCTCGGGTTAAAGGGGCGGTGCAACGATTTTACGATTAAAAGAATTTGCATCTTGTCATTTTTACGTTGTTTATCGTGTCCCGGAGGATAGAGAAAACATTTCCTTCATTAAAAATGTCGCGATTCCGCTGCATAATCGCAAAGCAAAAATCGAGCTTTTCCCCCCACCTGCAGCCCCAAGTGGCAGCCGAAGGAACTACGGCGGAAAGATTACGTGACCTCGCTCGGCTCTAAGCTGCAGCATAGCGCCCGCTAATGAACGCAGAGAGAGAGAGGGGAAGCGTCCTCCGAGATAGCACACGGGAAGCTACACGGCATTCCGAATGACGTCACTGGGAGTGCGACCAGGTGTGACCCTGAAGACTGGGAGTGAGTTGAGGGGTGCCCGAAATACCAATCTTTGTCTTTTTTTTACGCAAAAACTAGGACACGCAGGCGAAATCGGTTTTCTGTTCTTTACTTCAGAAGTGTCAGGGGGCAACTTCCAGAAATCTTTGACCGAAGTTCGAAAATCGTTGCACCGCCCCTTTCAACAAAACTATATTAGGTAGGGTGGTTGCACGTGACGACGGTTTGAAATCTCACCATAATCCCTGCTGACAGTGGTGTCTGTCAGTCGTATGCTATTCTATGAACAGAGGCCGCGGTGGCCGAGTTTTCTTCTCACTTGAGTTGCTTCTGATTTTGTTGATCAACCGTGCTTGCCGGAGTAGGCTGCGATTTAAGGAGAATCGTCGGCTGGCATTGTTTTTCAGTCATCTCGGCCTTTATAAAATACTGTCAGCATTCATTATCTTGATACATGCAGCCGTCCTTGAATTGATTTCGTTTGGATTGGTTTCACTTTGGCATGACTTTGCTTGGTTCGGTTTGGAGTGGTTTGGGGGTTTGCGGCCGTCCCCATGTGGTTCTTTGTCGCGCTCTCGATCATGTAGGGCGCGCCACTTTTCATGTGGCAAGCCGCGTCATTCTTGACGCGCAGTTTTATAATGGGCAATCAGTTCGTCGAACAAGGTTTCATAGACAGATTGTTTCATCGACACTGCGATGTTTCATCGGCAGATCGTTTCTTCGACATTTGTTTCATCGATGTGTCATCCGAAGATCGTTTCTTCGACATTCGATGCTCGACAGAGCTTATTACTCAGCCACAATATTACTACATTTCGTCGACACTTTTTTTGTTCGTTTTGTTTTACTCGTACGTCTAACGACATTTTCTTTCTCTCTCTTTCATCGACGCGGCGTTGGCTCCTTGACGTCATGCGTTCTTCGCGTGTTCACAGCGCACTACGGTGTCCGCTTCGGACAGGGCGCAGGTGGCGCAAGCGCAAATGCTCCTCACTCTTTGCACGCATGCAGTGCAGTGTGCTGTGCGTGGTGTTGGCTGTGCGCTTACGTCGCTTACGTTGCTGGAGTGGTGCGTGCGGCGCGGCGTCGGCCTTTTGCACACGTATGGCCGTTTGGCCGCGTGCTCGGCCTGCCTAGCGGATATTTGTTTACGAAAGGAGCGTGCCCTATTAGCGCCGAGATGTTTCGGTGGCGCCCTCTTTTGGTTTCCCTCCGTGACGTCACACTGGGATTTGCCTCGCCGGGACGTCACCAGTTGTTATTCTGGCTACTTACCATGGGGTGCGACGACGAGTTCGATGGTGTGTTTAAAAAGCACAGTAGAAGCTAGGAGCCATCGCAATCCGAAACTAACACCGTCAAAGTTGACAATCTGACAATGCTCATATGCCCATGGTTTGGCCAATCGTGGAAAGCTGACAACAGCGACGCTTTTGGCCGCGCACATCGCTAATAGGGGGGGGGGGGGGGGGCGAGCTGAGGCTCGGCGCTCGGCAGCCAGACGGTTGGACGTAATTGTTGCTTTCTGTCGTGCTTTTGGCCGCGTGCACAACTGACGCTCGCGAGATGCTGAAACATTCCAAACTTTTTCTAAAAGGAGTTTTTCTCGACGCAGTGGTGGCTTAGTATACCGCTCATTTTTTGTAGCGTCATGTGAGGCTTATTTTGTGCCCAGTAATGCACGCGAAATTCCAAAACTGACGTTTTGCAAGTGTTCCGAAATAGGTAGTGACTGTTATATATTGATTGTTATCGATTGAATCAGACCCAGACCCATGGATTCAGACGGGCCGCCAACATGTGTGTGTCCCACACAGCTAGGCCTGACTTTTATTCACGAGGGCAAACCGCCACTAAGAGGGCGCCACTAACATGTCGATATATATATATAACATGCCACCACACAAGTAACAAATGCACAAAAATAAAATGTCCGACTGGGTTTAGTACAAGAACCTTGACGGAATCTTCACAGGTCTTCCTGAGCGAGTCTGGCGGGGTTGAGCTTGTGGTGGCGAGTTTGTTGCATTGGACTGACGAAGGGAGGTGCTGGCAGTGGGCGGGGAGTCTAGAGGATAGTAGTCCTCAGCCGTCAGTCGGGGTTTCCTCGGGTCAGCTTTCCAGTTGGGCTTGGACTCTCTGGAGTCGATTCTCACACGAAGGTGATGGCGGTTACGTGCGTAGCTCTGGCCATCTGGCGATGTCACCTGGTATCTTCGTGGAGCTGGACCCACCTGTGTCACAACTGCTTTTCTCCAACTTTTTCCATGCCAAAACCAAACTGGCTGGTTCTTCTGAAAAGGAGGCATCTCTTTCGCATGTTGATCCGCATGTTTATGCTGTGCACGCTGCCTTGCTTGAAGCTGCTTGGAGAATGACTTGTGTGGATAGTGTGGCAGCAAGCTGCTTGGACAGGCTGGTAATAAAGTCCTTATTCTTCTTCCCATCAACATTTCTGCCGGAGATGGAAGGCCGTTACTTGGCGTTGCTCTGTAGGTCATCAACACTAGTGCCAAGTCCTTTCCTTCGGAGAGAGCCTTAGTCATTGTGGCCATGATGGTTTGTATTGTCCTTTCTGCTTGTCCATTGGACCTCGGAAAGAGTGGTGACGATGGGTTGTGGACGATATCCCACTCCTTGTTGAAGCTTCTATACTCCACAGAATCAAATGGGGGGCCTTGGTCACTGACAACTTCACTTGGTATGCCGTGGCACGCATACAGCTCCTTGAGCACTGATATAAGAGCAGATGCCGTTGTAGTCGACATTTTCTTGACTTCCACAAACTTCGAGTAATAATCTACCACAAGCAAATAAGTGGTGCCACCGTGGTAGAAGAAATCCATGGCTACTTTCTCCCATGGGCGTATTGGCAAGTCTCGGTCAAGAAGTGGTTCTCTTTGATTTGCTCTTTGGTGGCGTTGACAAACTTCACAGCTGCTGATCAGCTCCTCGATGTCCTGGTTTATCCTAGGCCAGAAGACGCTTTGGGAAGCCAGGTTTTTGCATGCGACAATGCCGCGATGGGTCATGTGAAGTCTTGAGAGCACATCCTTCTTGCATGCTTCTGGCACTACTAGTCGTTCGCCATAGCAGACGAAGCCATCGGTTATGTAGAGCTCACTTCTTTTTGAGTAGAAGGGTCTGACTGACGGGTGGACCTTTGAGATTTTATTTGGCCAACCGTGTTCGATGTAGGTCGTTACACGCTTCAAGACCTCATCTGCTGCCGTGCTAGCTTGGATTTCAGCCAGCTTTGCTGTGGATGCTTGAACCGATGTGCAGACCAGGACACCATGTTCCTCGTCTACTGTCTTGATGGTCTGCGCTGGATTAGGTGCACGAGACAGTGTGTCAGCAACTGTCAAGTGTTTTCCAGGCACATGGACTAGCTTCACCGTGAAACGCTGGATACGAAGGAGCAAGCGTTGGAGTCTGGGGGAGATTTTGTAGAATTCCTTTTGGTGCAAGCCGATGAGGGGCTTGTGATCAGTCTCCACCACGACGCTTCGACCACAGATGTAGTAGTAGAACTGCTCACACGCAAACACTATGGCCAACAGTTCCTTTTCTATTTGCGCGTAGCGCTGCTGTGCCGGCGTTAGTGCTGCTGATGCGTATGCCACTGGATGTCCGTCCTGCAGAAGGATGCTGCCGATTCCATACGAGCTGGCATCAGTTGAGATCACAATTGGTCGCGAAGCATTAAAATAATGCAACACTGGAGCAGTGGTCAGGTTGTCTTTGATCTCGTTGAATGCATTGGACATCTCGCGAGTCCAGTGCCATGCCACGTCGGACTTCAGGAGCTCACGCAGAGGTTGCGTCTTTGTTGAGAAGTTTGGAATAAACTTCATAAGGTATGTTGCCATTCCGAGAAATCGCAGGAGCTCTGCCTTGTCATTTGGTGGTTGTAAGGCCTGGATTGCCTTTACCTTTTCAGGGTCAGGAGCAATGCCTTCTTGGGTAAGCTGGTGACCAAGGTAGGTTACTGTAGACAGTCCCAGCTTGAGCTTGTCCTTGTTTAGCTTCAGATTGTTGTTGCGTGCTATTTCAAGCACCTTTCGCAGATGGGTTGCATGGTCACTCTGCGTTCTAGAGGCTACCAAGATGTCGTCAAAGTACGGCATCACAATGGTTTGGCGCTCGAAGATTCTGTCAATGGCTTGCTGAAAGAGCTCTGGAGCTGTGCTGAGTCCAAACGGAACTCTGAGGAACCTGTACCGACCCCAAGGTGTGGCAAATGTGCACAGGTACGAGCTCTCTTCATCAAGAGCCAGCTGCCAAAATGCACTTTTGGCATCAAGCACTGAAAACACAGTGCACCCAGATAGCCGCGCAAAGAGTTCTTCTGGAACTGGAATGCGGTAGTGCTGCCTCTTAACTGCTGCATTTAGGTTTCTTGGATCCAGACAGATCCGCACATTTCCATCCTTCTTTGTAATGATGACAATGGGGTGAACCCAGTCAGTTGGTTCTGTCACGGCCTTGATAATGCCATTGTCCTGCATTCTTGTGAGCTCGGCCTTCACAGTTTCTTCGAGTGCACTTGGCACCCGGCGAGGGGCAGACACCGTAGGCTTTACATCCGGTTTCAGGCGAATGCTGTATTCTCCTGGGAGTTTGCCGATGCCCTTGAATACTTCTGGAAATTCTTGAAGTATTTGTTCAAAGTCCGGAGCAGGATGAGAGGCTTTATTTGCCACTTCGATGTGCCTCACTCGATGCAAAAGGTTTAAGGCTGTGCACGCAGCTGCTCCAAGTATGGGCTTGAGATTTCCTTTCACAAGCAAGAACTTGACGTTGGACTGGGCATTCTTCACAGTGTAAAGGAACTGGCACTCATTTTGTATATCAAGCTGCTCACCCAGATACGTTGTAACCTTTGCTTGAGTCTTCTTGATAGCTGGATGGGGTTCCCATTTCAACACAAGCTGCTCTGGAAGTATGTTGACATCGGAACCCGTGTCCAGCTTGAAATTCACTGGGTTGCCGCTGACGTCGACAGTCTCAAGCCAGTCGGAGAGTGAATCTTCTGCGATGTCGTTTATAGTCAGGCTGCCCAGACCAAAATCTTGAACAGTCACTTCTTCCTCCACGTCTAGAGTTCGGACGTGTCGCGGTGCCACTCGCTGTTTCTGTCGGCATAGCTTTGCAAAATGTCCAAACTTGCCACAGGCGTAGCAAGTGGATCCGTAGGCGGGGCACTGTCGGGGCAGGTGAGTGGTTCCACACCTACTACAGCTTTTCTGGTGCTTGCCTTCTCTATGTTGTGGATGGTTGCTTCTTTGTTGATATTGGGGCTGTTTTCTCGGTTGTTGTCTGTTTTCCTGTCGCTGTTTTCCGCAGTTCAAGTTGTCGACCGTCGTCTCTTGTCTATCGGAAGTCGTCAACAGCGAAGATACGTGCTGTTTTGAAATTTCAGCCGCTCTGCACGTCATGATGATCTTTTCGAGAGTAAGGTTCCTTTCCCGAAACAGCCGCTCTCGCAGAGCTGTGTCGCGAATGCCAATGATTATCCTGTCGCCTAGGAGGCGGTCGTGCTGGTCGCCAAAATCGCATTTCCTCGATTGGCCTTGTAGCTCAGCGATGAAGTCGTCAATCGGCTGATTTTCTTTTTGGCACATTGAGTTGAAAATAGCTGCCGCCTGCGTCACGTTTTTGTACGGCAGATACTTCTCATCGAACTTCGCAAAGATAGCGGCCACTGTGTCTGTTAGAGGCTCACCAGTTGCCGGAGCTGGAAAGACGAATGTGTCGACAATTTTCCGTGCTGCTGGGCCGATGACGTGTAGCAGGAGCGCTCGCCTGGTTGCTGGGAGCTTGTCTGTATACTCGCAGGCTGCCTCATAGAGTTCATATGCCGTCTTCCATTCCGACCACGTTTCGGCGGGGTTGCTGCCTGGTTCAAACGGCTTGGGCGGTTGGATCAGGGGAAACGCCATGGTGATACAGTCGTTGCTTTACTGTAGTTGTTTCGGGGAGTTGCCGAGTTGCGAAATTTTAACTTCTGACACCATGTTATATATTGATTGTTATCGATTGAATCAGACCCAGACCCATGGATTCAGACGGGCCGCCAACATGTGTGTGTCCCACACAGCTAGGCCTGACTTTTATTCACGAGGGCAAACCGCCACTAAGAGGGCGCCACTAACATGTCGATATATATATATAACAGTGACGTAGAGGTTAATCTGTCTGTTTCGGTAGTCTTTAAAAGTCCAATGAACGAGGTATTCGCATTGTTATAGAGTCGGAGCATAAGGAGTTTGAGCGAATATAGGGGGCGCTCCGATCGATCCAACATGGCGGAAAAGAGGGGGATAGATTTGCGACGCCCGTAGATCGGTAGCGTATAAATTAAACAAACTCTGTTTGTTTACGTGTGCGAGACGATCATCGCTTCAACCAAGACCTACCGTGATGCTACAAATGAAGTGTACAAGCCAGTCGAAGGCAAGCAATCTTGCCATAGCCAAGATATGTGTGCAAGTGTTCGATGTGAGCTCTCACGCTGGTGCAGCTGTCATCAAGTTGAACCGAATGTACTTGGGTCCAAAGAAAGGTGCACATCAACAATGTTGATGTGCTATGACGCGTACTTTATCTAAAACTAAACTTAACGGTCTGCGGCTACAAACATTTTTGTTGACGTTGCTTAGATGAAGTAACCTTTCAGGCCTCGCATTAAATGGTGTTGCGAACCCTTCGGTTGTTCTAGTTAATAGTGCTAAAAAGCGGTTGGATGGAAAGTATGACAGCTACAGCATACGAGGGACGACTGAGGTCTTTATCCTGCGTTCTATGTATGGAAACATCGGTATCCTTGGTGTTATATTGCGATCAGCTGGTCGCCGATCGTCCTGTTTTTTATGCATAATGTAAACAAGCCCCGGAAGCGCCAATCTCATTTCGATGTGCTTGTTCACCCCTACAAGCCTCCTTTTGGCTCTTGTGGAAAGATCTATTGTAATAGCAATAGTCTCATCGGCCGTTCGAGTTGCATGTACCACGGTGATATCTGCTGTGTGATCTGCAAAATCCCGATGAGCCAGCAGATTTATTGGAGTAAGACACATGGCAGCGTCTCACAGGCGTCCATTCTAGATGCCACCTGTCTCTATGCGACGCTCTAATTGGCCCACTGGGTCGTAGCTTCCACAGTTTGCTAAGTGTGCCCATAGGAAACCAGCAATGCAGCTTGGAAGTTGGCACGACACGTTGCGCCATATAGCGACTGAAAAATAAAACAAATTAGATAGTCCAGGACTGAGGACGGCCTGGGTCCCTGGGTCGCGAGGACTGTGGGCGGGCGCATTTAGAAACCACGATTGAACGTGGCATTTTGGATCGGCGTGAGCCTTTTTGGAACTGTTTTTTCATAAAATTAAGTCTCAACTTCACGTCTCTATGACCTTTCAGGGTTCCTGTGACAACTCCCCTAAGCCTAGAGTTTCCCCCAAAAATAAACGCCGCTACTGCTGCGTGAAAGACTGCCACGATCGTGCAGGTGACCCAAGCGTCAGACTTTACCGCTTCTCTTTAAAACCTTGGGAAGCGACACGGTGACAAAGTGGATTACTGGAGTGCGATGCATCAAGTAAGTGAATTTTACATTAATTGTTGAAGTGAACGAAAATAGATGTGCACTCTTGGAAAGTGGTTTGACAGACTCCTTTTGCAAAATAACGTATTTATACTAGTTTTTTTACGAGTCTCTGAGACAACCATTTAGAGAAATACAGTAGGAAAAATTGGGCCGATTGTTGCTTCGCTTTGACGTCGGGAATCAGGCGATCAGGTCTTCAAGCGAGATGCCCTTCGACCTGTTCCGGCACTCGTAGTTGTAGGCGTGCATTTGGTTGCGACCGCGCGCGCCGTTCGGCACGCGCGGTCGCAACCAAAACCTTTTAAGCATGCAAGATTTTAAATAGTGGATTTTCGTAGAACATATTTTTGTTTGTTTCGGCTACCAAATTTAATGCTGAGTCTGGTAACAAATGTGACGACGTGCAGAAAACAGGATGCAATATATATTTTTTTTTTTTTCAGAAAAAGCGCATGCGAAGCGTAAATATCCTTCTCACACGCACACTTTTTTGCCTGTCGCCAGACTTGTGCACTGTTCTCTAGCACGGAGAGTTTGGTTCTAATTACCCACATTTTATTCTAGTGTCGTGGGGGCGCCGGGAGAAGAAGAGGACGGTCGAGCGAGGTGCGAGCGGGGGCCAGCCGGCAAGGAAAGAGGATCGAAGAGCGTGCTGCACGAGGCTGGGGCCGAACAGGAATGATAGAGCCGTTCTGGCTGGTCCGGCCCATGTCGGTCCCCTGAGCATTCCAGCAGCGAGCTTCAGATCAGGACCGGCGGAAACGGCGAGCCTGGCCTTATCGGCCTAGTCCATGACGGTCCAGGAGTGGTTCTGCAGCGAAACTCTGGCTGTGATAGCCCGGAACAGCTAGCGTACGCAGTGCGTGGGAAGGACGATCCGCAGGCGTGGACACGGACTCCGACAGCCAGCTATGAACGACGGGCGACAACTAGGGTCGGTGGGTCCGGACTGCCGGCTCTCGAAGACGGGCAACCGGGAAGTACAGTAAACCCATTCGCTGCCTTCTCGTTGCGTTGTGTCACTTCCTGGGAGACGAGCGAATCACAGACCGATCGGGCGGCGATTATTTTAGAGCGACGCCGCAAGCGCACGAAGACAGTTCAAACAGGTGTCCAAATGACAGCTCCAGATTATGCTCTCAACACTTGGACCTATCAAGGCTCCCGATGATCTTAAAAAACCGCATAAAATAAAAAGGGACATGGCGCGCACGTGCACACGGGGACTGCTAAAATCGGGTTCGCCGCCGCTCGCCACGGCCCGACGGGCAGACTAGCCACTGGCCGACCCATTAGAGAAACCCCTCCGCTTGTGGCGCCGAATGCAGCACTCTCGTGGCGCCGCCTGGCCATTGCCTGCTGGCTGTCATGCACTTGCGCCACCTTGCCCCAAACAACACTTAAAAGCATGATATCGCACAATGTGAAAGACCTCACTCGAAGCTTCGATCGATCATGACACCGCCTTTGTCGCACTTCCTGAGTGATGACTCATTTCGAATGGTACGTTGAGGTGCGCGGAGAAATAAAATTTGGGGTGCTGATGGGGATCATGCGAGTCATTTAATTTTATTGCAGCTGTGCGAACGTTATAGTTGACGCAATCATAAAATTCTGTGCCCACTGACACCAACTTGACAACAGGAACCGAAATACACACGAACCTTTCTATGCCACAGAGAGAGGAGCGCTAGCCGTTTGGAGCGCTTCCCCAACTCCGACGTTACCGCGCCGCCTCGAGGCGCCGTCAGTCCGTTGGCGTCTCGCAGTCTGCCGTGAAGCGAAGAGCGAACGCCGAGGAGAGACGAAAGCGATCCCCCCCCCCCCCCCCCCCCTTCCTCATACCCCCTCTGCCCTCTACAGCTGGTTGAGACATTGCGGAGGGCGCTGGCAAGGAGGAGCCTGCAAGAAGAAGCACCCCCTCCCCCCTTCCTCCGCCCTCCGCCCTCCACAGGAACCGGCGCGTTCACATGGCGAAGGAGCAGGCGAGCAACACCCAAACCAACCCTGAAGGCCCGAACCCCACGCAGTAGTTGCGAAGCGAGAGTCTCCTCGCCCACTAAGACGGCCCAGGAGCTCACGTCACGTGACCAACCCAGCTAAGAATATACCAGCGCTCACCGCGACTCATGATGGCCATGGTCCTCAGGCTCACGCCATCGCGCGGACTAATGCGATCACCGGACTCATATCCACCCAAAGACTCACGTCTTGATTCAGGCTCATGCTCATGAGCCTCGAAACTCACAATCACACTCAAGAGACCCCAAACTCACACTCATGAGTACTTCACTTAGCGCTCAAGCTCACACTCACACTCAAGAGTTTTAAGAACTAACAATCACACTCACGGTCAAACTCACGTTCATGAGTTCGCAGGGCTCACACTCACACTCACACTCAAAGAGTTTTAAGAACTCACAATCACACTCACGATCAAACTCATGCTCATGAATTCGCAGGTTTCACACTCGCACTCACGCTCATTAGTTCTCAGAACTCGCGATTACACTCGCGATCAGACTCACGCTCATCAGTTCTCAGGACTCACACTCACACTCACCCTCATAAGTTCACGTAACCCACGATCACACTCACACTCACACTCACAATTTTTCGAGACTCGCGGCCTCACTCACGATCACCTCAAATCTGATGGTGAGCGTGAGTGATCGTGAGTGATCGCACTCATGAGTGAGAATGCCGAGGTATGCACGCCACTCACCGCCCTCACGCCACTCACCGCCCTCACGCCACTCACCGCCCTCACGCCACTCACCGCCTTTGCGGCCCTCACACGTACCCCTCACGCCCCTCA